TATGTAGACCAGCAAAACCAAATGTAATTTCAATAATTGAACTTTTTATTGACAAAACAATTCTGACATTTCTGATAGGGGCAAGATGGTCGCACCAACTCTCGATTTCTATTCCACTGCTCTGTACTGGAACCGCGCTTTACGGAAGAACCGAGCATGCAGATGACACTTCTGTTGCCTGAACAATCTGAACAACACATGCACTGAGGCCGCAAATTATATCAATAATTATTGTCAAAAGAACAACCTTATATTGAATCAAAGCAAGACTGAATTAAGCATGTTCTCCTTGAAGGATTTAAATAAAAGTTTAGTAATAAAATTACATTATGATTCAATCGAACAAAAGCAAGTAGGTAGTAAAATACTGGCAACTTCTATCAATAATAGATCATAATCTCTTGAAATTGTACTATTATTCATACGTTTATTCAACCATGAATAATGGGTTTCTAGCCTGGGACAACAGTTCAAGGTCTAATGAAGTTTTTATTCAACAAAAAAAGATTGTACGTAACATGATGTTCAAACCCAGGACGTTTTCCTGTCGCCAGTTGTTCAAACAACTTGAGCTTTTAACGTCCCCCTCTCTCTTCATTTATATTGCATATTATATGTATATAAAAAATAACAGGGCTATTCTCAACCAGTCTCGTGAAAATATTGAACACAATTTAAGGCAAAACTTCAATATCAATATACCATCCCATCGTTTGTCAACTGTGGCTAACAGTCCGTTGGTTTTGCCAAGTTCGAAAACTTTTAGTTAACGGAGTGCTTTATTCGGTTCCGGAATATATGTGTTATAACCTGGAATAACCACCTTTACGTTTACACTTCTATATACTGTCTTTTATACAGGGTTACTGGTGATTCGATACATTCCTTTGGAGATGTGATAGGGAAGGTGATAAGGAGTAAATTGAACCCTAATATGCATTATGCAAAAGTTGATAGTGTTTGAGATATTCATTTTTTTGTTTTTCTCCAAGAGGTACAGTTCAAGGGTTCAAAAGTTAGTTTCCCGAAAATCTGCTCTACATTTTTTCAAACTTTCAACTAGAATACATGATCAACACTATGGTCTTATGATTGGAATGACAAAATTACAGAAATAATTTAGATCATAGATAAATTGTAGATATAAAGTCGTATTTTTGTTTGTGAATTGTGGATTTTAACCACATTCTAGCGGTTATTTTTAGAAAAATCTATAAGCCACATTTGTCAAAACTTTGTCCAAACTTCCTTAAGGCAAAATCTATCTAACTGGGTACAAATTAAACTAAAAGTACTTGATACGGATTTGTTATTTCAATGGAATAGTATAAAACACACTTGAAAAATGTAAACAGGGAAATGTATTAAAATTTTCTACGGCAAAATCTGCAGGACGGATGATATTCCCACAAAACGGATGTTCAGCGCATTATCGGCTGATCGTTCGGCAGTTCCTAGAGGAACGTTTTTTGAACCGTTGGATTAGAAGGTCAGGTCGAAGCGTGAAGCCCTGACCTAACCTCCCTTGATCATTATGTGTGAGGTGATATGGAAGCGCTAGTTGATGGAGCTCCAGTAAATACCCGGGAAGAACTCATACAAATGATAACCGACGCTGCTCTGCACATACAAAATATTTTGAGAACTGGAATAATGAAAATCGAAATAAGAAGACGCTGCCAAGCATGTATTCGTAATAAAGGTCTCTTTTTGAATAGGATTTGTAAAAAGTGAATACTAATATTAAAATTTTTTTCAAGTACGTTCTTACTATTCATGTAAAATAACAAACCCGTATCGAGCACTTTTATTATTATTTGTACCCAGTTAGAAAGCTATCGCAGTAAGGAAGTTTAAACAAATTTTTGACAAATGTGGCTTAGAGATTTTTCTAAAAATAACCGCTACAAAATGTTGAAATTCACAATCAACAAACAAAAATACGACTTTGTTTTTACAATGCATCTATTATATGTATTATTTCTGGATTTTTTTCATTCCAAACATAAGACCATAGTGTTGATCATGTATTCTAGTTGAAAGGTTGAAAAAATGTACAGCAGATTTTCGGAAAACAAACTTTAAAACCCTGGAAGTATACCTTTTGGAGATAAACAGAAAAAGTTGAATATCTCAAAAACTATCAACTTTCGCATAATCCATATTAGGGTTAAATTCACTCCCTACCACCTCCCCTATCACATCACCAAAGGAATGTATCGAATTACCAGTAACCCTGTATACTTCTTTATTCACTGTTTTATTTTTGTTTCTATATACACTGTTTTTATACATTATTTGATATTATATTATTATACACTGTGTCCAAGATAAGAATGAACAGCATATGGGGATCTCGGAAACGGTAGTAGATACAAATTTGGTTAGGTTAGAGAAAAGTAGCGCATTTATGTGCCGAACGATATGCCATTTACAAAGTTATAATATTCCGAGTAGTTTCGGAGATATCCGAGAAAAATCGAAATTTGAGAATTTCGTTTTTATTTTCTCCTAGCTTTATTTTCGAAGGAAATCTAAAACAAATAGCACTTTGCCATGGCCACTTCTCAAGGACTACATGATAACGTGAGCAGAATTTTTCTGCGACGTTTCGTCTTCTAGAAAACATCATCAACTTTGTATTTTTATATGAGCCGAAACTAAAGTATACCCTGTATACGACTTAATGTTTCATTGTGCATACAGCAACGTATCACACAATATGATTTCAGAACCATTTCTCGCTTGAAAATGAAAAGTGATTACTTAACCTGGTTTTCTTCAATTTCACATAGTAGGCGCTGGAAAAAATGACATATTTTAATACATGAAGTAAATTGATTAGTCTTATTTATATAAGTATGGATTTTAACTTACCACTTGTCGGAATTTTTGCGTTGTTGAGTGCAATATTAAAAGTTCAATACTGTCTGTAGGTTAATCGAGGAGGTGGTACATTCATTTTACTTGGTTCTTTGGGATTTCCTCTCCTCGTTTCTATAAAATAAAAGTATTCGTATTATTTCAATATATTTGTAGAGGGACAAATCAGATGATGAAAACATCCTGTAACTCATTTGTAGACTAAAATCACTCATTCATATGCCAACATCAGTATGACACTGAAAAGTGTCAAACTATACGCAGCACAACTTTCAAAGAAAAATAATTTGCATTTACATGTTGAGAACGGGAGCAGAATCGGTCCCGAAACGTCCAAAGATAAGTACAAATTCGATATTTTTTCAATATATCTATATTTCTTTCCTTCAAAATTTTTTTCAAACAAATTGTCACTGACAAGCTACTGGATTTTTCTTTTAGACTCCCTGATAGAAAAATTTGTTAAACGCAGTGACATTTTGGGGCAAATCATCTGATTTGTCCCTCTACAAATATATTGAAATAATACGAATACTTTTATTTTATAGAAACGAGGAGAGAAAATCCCAAAGAACCAAGTAAAATGAATTAAAAGTTCAGTTTATAAATGTAGTTTTAATGTAATAACAAGGAGCTAATATGTATTACTTACAGGAAATGAACAGAAACTTATAACAAGTGTTCGAATAACCCGCCGTTATTTTCTAAGCACAAGTACGCTCGTCTCACAGATGAATTTGAAACTTGGGTTAACATATTCGGATCAATATTGTTGAAGGCTGCAGTAACCAATCTTAGAAAATCTTCTTCATTTTGAAAATCATGATTAGAGTACACTTCATTATTGATATATGCCCAAAGGAAAAAGTCTAGTGGAGTTAGGTCGAGGGACCTTGCAGGCGAGGATGTATCACTAAGAGTACCCATCCACTGTCCTGGGAAGCGACGGTTTAAATAAACACAAACGATTCTAGCGTTATGTGTTGGAGCACCATCTTGTTGAAACCAACAGCTGTGAGTACCCGCTAAAGGAAAATTATCTAGAGCGTCTTCCAAATCATTTACTAACAAATTCATGTACCGCTCTTTTGTAACACATCACGCTGACTTTCTACATTAGATTGCTTTTGTAGGGAAACCATAGGTTTTACAAATGATCCTTATTCTTTTAAATAATAAACTAACCGTCTGAATATCGATTTACCAGGTTTTCGCCTCTCTGGATACTTATTAGAGTACGCACGTTCAACATCAACACAATTTATTTGGCACAAAATGTAACATGATAACATATCATATTTTTCAATATTCGAAAAGTTACCGTTTTCCATTTTTAACACAATCTAGGTAAGTAACGAGATGTTAAAGTAGGAACGGTAATAGGTATGTCGAAAATACTACCAAACTACAGATTATTATGACAACAGAACACGACGTGTCATTTTTTCCAGCGCCTACTATCTAAAATTGAAGAAAAACAGGTGGAGTAATCACTTTTCATTTTGTGTCAGAAATGGTTATGAAATCATATTGTGTGATACGTTGCTGTATGCACAATGAAAAATGGAGTCGTATACTTTAATTTCGGCCCATATAAAAATACAAAGTTGATGATGTTTTCTAAAAGACGAAACGTCGCAAAAACATTCTGCTCACTTTATCATGTAGTCCTTGGAAAGTGGCCATGACAAAGTGCTATTTGTTTTTCATTTCCTTCGAAAATAAAGCTAGGAGAAAATAAAAACGAAATTCTCGGATATCTCCGAAACCGCTCCGAATATTAAAACTTTGTAAATGGCATATCATTAGGCACATAAATGCGCTACTTTTTTCTAATTCAACCGAATTCGTATCTCCTACCGTTTCTGAGATCCCCATACTGTTCATTCTTATCTTGGACACAGTGTATATTTGTATACTGTAATGTTCGTTTTTCAACAGATTATTCAAAATTGACCTGACCATATCCTATACTTATGAAAATTGAATTGAATTGAACTTGTACACTTGTTCTGTACTAGTACGATCTGTTGATCCGCCAGTGGAAAACGCTATTTAGTTTCAAATGAAATATCTTCCTTCGAAATTGAAGAAATCAGTCATGACCTGTTTTGAAGGTGCCCTCGAACTGCCCCAACGTGACCATCGACGGGTACGTCGACCCTTCGGGCGGCAACCGCTTCTGCCTCGGCGCCCTGAGCAACGTCCATCGCACGGACCAGAGCGAACGCGCGCGCCTGCACATCGGCAAGGGCGTGCAGCTCGACCTCAGGGGCGAGGGGGACGTGTGGCTCAGGTGCCTGAGCGACCACTCGGTCTTCGTGCAGAGCTACTACCTGGACAGGGAGGCGGGGCGGCAGCCGGGAGACGCGGTGCACAAGATCTACCCTGCGGCGTACATCAAGGTGAGGGGAGCGTAGATTCAATAGCAATGGATAGACATCGTGATTCGTACACTGATTATTTAGAAGCAGGGTTGGAATAGTCATGACTTTTATGAAAATGTCAGAAATATTCGACTTTTTGTATCAAATAGGTCTTTATTGAATCAATTCACTTGAAAAAGTTTTTATCTACTCACTGCATAGAAAGTTAGCGTTGGCTCCCTCATTTGAGGACACAAACCTGTCAATTTACTCCCACGGAGGAAATAAATTGGCCAGCATGCGTAGAGATATACACACACAGATTTGTGCTATCCAAGTACCTAATCAGTGTGTCCATCACTACTATAAAACAAATAACAATTTCATTTTCCAATGATCTCATACACTTCCTCATATAACACTCAATCGAAACTCTAAATAAAATGCAATAATTACATCACAATAAACTAATTCAATGTGACAGAAGTGTCAATGTCAAATTGATTTTCATTCTGTAACCTTACATCATGTAAAACCTTGGATCATGTAACACATTGATTTGGATCGTGACTTGAGAGATAGACCGCTTGAAGCACAATTTTAAGAACGATGCTCTCAAATATATGTGTTCGTGGATAAAATCATATACAGGGTGTCCGCTGAAAGGAGGTCAATCCATTAACCATTGATTCCTTGAACAAAAACAATATGAGTTTCTAAATACCATTTTTCATTTTAGCCCTTCAAAGTTGGAAATTAAATTAAACGTGTTGAATTTCTATCATTTTTTTTTGTAAAAATTATTTTAATACATTCGCTCTGAGCACCCGGTATTTCCATATTCACCTTTTCGTACGTAAAAAGTTACGCCCTCTTCTAATTTCGACGAAATAAAAAGGAGTATGTGAACATTATGAGATTACCGTTAGCCGCATAGGCATCAAACAATAACCAGTACTTTTCTAATTATCTTAAAAACAAATAATTTTATCGAAATTTTACAAGAGACGAAAAATACTCAAAAATGATTGAACACTTGAAGAAAAATAGATAGGAAGTCATTAGCGAACGTGCAAAAAAATATGGGGGTAAGTGTGTACTTGACTCCCAGTATTTTGAATATTTGACAGTTATTTTCTGTTTTGTTCTTCTCACACGATGTAACTCTTTGTGCTGAAGTAATGTACCAATTTTGAGATTAATATCTCATTAAATACGCGAGTAATTAAAAAAAACAGTTTTTAATTTCCAACTTTGACACCCTGTATATCGAATAGGAGGTGCTAAAATGAAAAATGGTATCTAGAAACTCATATTGTTTTTGTTCAAGGAATATTTGGTTAATGGATTGACCTCCTTTTAGCGGACATCCTGTATATATCTTGGGCGCAAACGTTCATTTCCTCCCATGTGTGTTCACACGCAGGAGGAAATGGATACCTTTGCTCCCTTGATATATAAATAGCTATTTTTTTTAAATCACAAAGAATAATGTAATGAAACATGCAATTTTTTCGAAACAAATTGGAACTATTGATTGAATGAGAAATAATAAATGCTAATGCAACTTATTACTTGATTGTTCATTAGAGGCGCTTTATGTATACGTATACGTCACAAATCACGGATGGGGTTTTTGGAAAATAAAACGTTCTGGTTTTTCCGAGGAGAATATTGAAAATTTCAAAAAAGAAATCAGATATCTCAAAAATAATAAAAAATACAACGAAAATTTAAATGGATGGTGGTTTGGGATTTTCAAAAAGAGAGCTAAGGCTTTCTTTAAAAACATCGAAATCAATGAGGCTATTGAGAGTAGGAATTTGATAGAATTCTATCAAGAAGCTTTATTTGAAACAAACGGGAAATTGAGTAATGGTGAAAATGTGATAAATGAATACAGAGAGATTAAAAACACAATACTGCATCTCGAACAGAAACAACTGAATGCTAGGTACAATAACAAAATCAATAGCGAAGTGAATGATAGATATAGTTTATACGACATTATGAAACAAAGAAAAAACAAAAATTCAATTATTTCATCTTTGAAAACAGAAAATGGCAACCTGCTCACAAACTCGAAGGAAATGATCAGACATGCCAATAATTTTTATGCAAAAAAATTTCAAGAATCACAAGTGAACGGTAGAGATATGAGATGCCTTCTAGCATATATTAAAAACAAAATTCCATCACACGACAGTATAAGATTAGAAAATGAGATATGTTTAGAAGAACTCAAGACAGTGCTCCTGTAGGCTTCTAAGAAAAAAAACACCAGGTATAGATGGACTCTCATACGAATTTTACACGATATTCTTTGACGAGATAGGCTCGGACCTGACAAAACTCTTCAACTCGTTTCTGTCTGGTCTGTCATTGCCCCCGAGAGAATTTGCGGAAGCAGTTATAACGCTCATACCAAAGGTGAAAAACGCAAAAGAACTGAGAGATTTTAGACCAATTACACTCCTCCACTCTGATTACAAACTGCTTATGAAAATCATGGCATCTCGATTAAATAATATCAGTAGTAGGACGATCTTTGGATCAGAACAAACAGCTGGCAACAATACTTCTATATTCAATAACTTAATGCAAACCCGGGATACAGTGCTCTACTTTGAGAAAGAAAAACGAAAGTCCGGTGCAATTTTGTCTTGATTTCAAACAAGCTTTTGACAGGGTAAACCATAAATACTTATGGGCAGTAATGGAGGCAATGGGATTCAATGAAAAAATAATAACTCTTTTCAGGAATTTATATAAGACTGCCAATTCAAAAATTCTACTCAATGGTTTTTTGTCAAATGGTTTCAATATCAATAGCTCGATCAGACCTTTCATAAGACTAGCTGATTTTGTTATGAAAGGAATCAACATTAATGGAACTGTAAGAAAAATTTCATCTTATGCGGATGACGTGACCTTATATATTGAAGATGAAACAGATGTTAAAAATATTGATAGAATAATAAAAATTTATGAAAATGGAGCCAATGCGAAAATAAATTTTGATAAATCGGCAATTATACCTCTTGGAAAAATGACGACAATACAACAGAGTTTCATTAGTAATTTCCCTATAAAAAAGGAAATAAAAATCTTGGGGTTGATTGTTTCAAATAACTTTAGAGATATGGTGAACGCGAACTGGCAAAAGGTGATTCAAAATATAAACCTAACATTAATGTTCAGTCATGTCAGGGATCTAGATTTGATCAGAAAGATCTGGTTTGTTAATATACAGTGTGTCCACCTTAAGGACTTACCACCCCTGTAAAATTGTTATTATCTGACCGATTTCAAAAAACCTTTTTTTGTTGGATAGGTATTTGAAATGTCCATCCAACAAGAGAGTGATTTAACTCATGAACTGTAATCGTGGCCAACCGCGACCAACTTTATTGACCCATATTTTTCACAAAAAACAATGATGGAGTCTGAATCACGATCACTTGAAAAACACCTACACTGATTTTTATCATCATAAAACACAGGGTGTCCGAAAAAACGAATTGTTTGTTTTTTTAATAGGTGCGATCAGAAAAGAATTGATGACACATTATTATTGAGGATCACTTTGAACATCTGTACCGATTTTCATCATTCAAAAATACGATGAATATGAGAAAACAATTAAAAAGAAAAAGTAGGCAATACTTTTTCATCACCTCAAAAAAAATATTAATTTGATTTTTCGAACTCCCGTGTTTAATGATAATGAAAATCGGTACAGGTATGTTCCAAGTGATTCTGATTCATCTTTTTATTTTGAGTGAAGAATTATCAGGATGAAAAATATTGCTTACCTATCCTTTTTAATTTTTTTCTCAGACACATTGTATATTCAAATGACGAAAATTGGTACAGGTATATTTGAAATAATCCTCAATGATAATTTGTGATTATTTCTCTCTAGAAAAACCACAGAACTACATTTGCTGATCACCTATTTGAAGAAAATGATGATTCGTTTTTTCGGACACCCTGTGTTTTATGATGATGAAAATCGGTACAGGTATATTTCAAGTGGTACTGATGCAGAATCCATCATTAAGTTTCGTGGAAAAAATCCCTAATAGTACTTTCTGGAATATGGGTCATTGAAATTTGTCGCAGTTGGCCATGATAACAGTCCAAGAATTAGATCACTCTCGCGTTGGATGGGCATTTCAAATACCTATCCAACAAAAAAAGGTTTTTTGAAATTGGTCGGATAATAACGATTTTACAGGGGTGGTAAGTCCTTAAGGTGGACACACTGTATATGTCTTGTCAAAGGTCTGGTTTCTGGCACAGGTTATACCACTACCTAGAAAATACAGTCAAAGAATGGTTCTCTCAACAGGGAACTATATATGGCAGGGAAATTTGTACAGGGTATCTAGAGAACAGTTATACTTACCTCATAATAAAGGAGGGTTAAATTTAATAAATATCGATAAAAAAGCATTGGTACTCTTTCTGAAAACACAAGCTTTATCTTGGACGAATGTGGAAAACAAAATAGTCTATAAATCGTTAATCAATAATATTTTTGAGGATGATCATAATGACGTTCACCCATTGATCAAAAATATCGCGAAGAATATAAGAGAGTTTGATTTTCAATTCTCCAAAGATACAGTTAAGACAGCTAAAACAATTTATCGAACAGTCATAGAAGAAAGGATAATGACTCCTACGATAGAGATCAAATGGCTGCAATATAATTGGACTCGTATCTGGTCAAATATTTTGGGAAATTCTGATATCTCAACAAAATGGGTGTCTGCTTTATATAGAGCAATAAATGAAATTTATCCAGTTAACGAAAAACTCGAAGCACATGGGTTAAGAATGAGCGAAGATTGCAATAAATGTAATGTAACTGATAACATATCGCATAGACTAACAATGTGTGGAACAGCTAGAGATGTATGGGAGTGGACAAAGAATAAATTATCTAGAAAATTTGGTTTGTCAATCATGGCCACTGACCTGAAAGATTTGTTCAGTATTGATATGAGCAATAAACTAGATAGGAAGGTTTGGGTATGGTCAATTTCTGGACTGATATATCAAAATTTTGAGCGTCAAACCCAGTTGGATGAATTCATCAATTTATTAAGGCAAGATAGGTATATCAAGATGAAATCAGGAAAAATAGATACATTTTCCAAGAAAATATTTTATTTTTGATAGGACTTTTCCTACAATTTGCTGTGATACCCTTATTATATATATATAATATGAATATAAATCACATATAAACCTAATAAATTGAATTTTATTGTATAGTAGACACTAAATATACTCTATATTAGTGTTATGGCAGAAAATTCATCTATTTATTTTTAGTTTAGTTAGTTATGGTATAAGTACTCACTCTATACACCAGGTTATATGTTATAATATTATCTATTATGTAAGTGAAATATTTATTTATTTCAGTGTAGTTAATGTTTTTGTTGATATTCTGTATCCTATTTGTTTTTTTTTATGAATAAAGGTTTTGAAAAAAAAAAAATTACTCCGAGGTATGAACTCCTGATATCTTGTTACAGGAACATTTTTTTTTTTTTCAGGTATTCGACTTGCGCCAGTGCCACCACCAAATGACAACGCAAGCTGCGACTGCTCAAGCGGCTGCAGCTGCACAAGCAGCTGCGGTAGCTGGGCATATTCCCGGTCCTCACTCTGTCGGAGGAATTGCCCCAGCCATAAGTATGTGTTTTTTTTAACTAGCTTTTACCCGCGGCTCCTCTCGCGTTGAAGGACTTAAATAAATATAAATAAATATCAAAGATCAATACAGTACTAAAAACATGCTTTATTGAAATAATTTACTACAACAAAAGTTGAAATGTATTTCACTACAACAAAAATAAGTAACGTATTCAATATTGCTTCCGCATGAATTATTTATTGCGCTCTGTCTCTAGATATACCAATTCAGGTGCACGAATTCGATACTACCTGAATTGGTTGATCTAGAGACATCAATTTGAACAATTCGATGAATAAGTTACTGAATAATTCCAAAATTCAATTGTGTTAGTAAATATTTAATCAGGTACTTATTCTACATTATGAACTTTTTATTACTATTTATTTGTTGCAATCAGGTACCCAAGTTTTGTGTTTTGTTAATTAATTTCTGTTGATATTGGTTTTGAGCTCTTCATGGAAAAATTTAAAGAAATATTTCTATTAAAATTAAATATTTTAGTGATTTTTGAGCATTTTTCAAAATTTTATATTCATTACATACCATTTTGATGGCAAAAAAATAAGGATTTTAATGAGCTTATAAAATACAGGGTGTTCCATTTAAAAAATCATAAGATTGAGTCGTATCTCCGAAACCATACCCCGAAAAAAAAATTAAGTGCGCCACTGGATTCTGCGTGGAATTCTCTATGCGATAAGATTTTGATTTGACATTTTTGCTGAGAAACTTCGTAGATTAGAGGGGGTCCAAAAAGTATAAATTTTCAAAATCGCCCTGTATCTCATAAACGGAAACAGTCTTTCAAAATCTGATTAAGCCATCTTGAGTTTCACAAAAAAGTGGCACAGGACCGCGAATACCGCAAGGTTTTATCTCCTAAGATAACTGAGATATCACGCAAAAGCATCGAAAACTGGACACACTGTACAGGGTGCGCCTCTTAAAATGGAACCCTCCTTTAACTCTTTTGTTTTCGGAGGTATGAAAAAATGTTAAATAAAAAAGTTGTTTGAAACGACCCGAAGTTTTATTTCGTGAAGTTGTTTCATATACAGAGTCATTCGTTTTTCCAGAAAGGACATCAACTTTGATTTTTTCAATGGAACACCCTATATATTTCCCAATATGTCGATAGAGCTTTTTCTTCTGATTCCAAAAATATATATGAGTTGCATATTCAGATTGAAAATGATTGAGTTAGGTATTGATGATTTGAAATAATGTTTATAAATTGTTTGAGTTCCATGTTTATTATGAAATTGAAAACGTTCGATTTCTATAGAGAAAAAAAGGTTACAGTTTGAATGAAAGATGAATTTTGGAAATATACATTTCTTGTGGGAAAAATGCAACCGCTGCTCGTAGAGAATATGCGCATTGGCAAAAAACGGTACTCATAGAAGGTCGAAAAGATCGAAAAACAAGGCCGGAGAAGTGTAAATGTCTGGTGCAGTGTTTATTACACTAAAGTAATTGGTCTCATCTTCATTGATGGCAGTCTTACGGGAAAAAATATTTGGATATGTTGCAAGGTGATATTGAAAACTTGATGAAGCAATCCCTTGGAATAGATGAAACCAATTGGTATGGCAGCAGGATGATGGACCTCCTCACAATGGAATTGAAGTCCCAAACTACCTCAATGAGAGTTATGACCTCGGTTATGATACTTGGATTGGAATGCGAGGACCAATATTTTACCCACCCCGTAGCCCGGACCTGACGTCTTGTGATTTTTTCCTGTGGGGAGCACTGAAAGACAAGATCTATAACATGATAATCCGGATACTGACTTCTTGAAGAATAAAATAACAAAAGAAAATTTTTTTGAAAATTCTCATATAGTTCATTCAATGAATATTGTTTATAAAGATTCATTCAAGTTTTGTTGTCAAGAACTCTTGATGATATTTCGACATCTACGCATGCGTTACTGTTATAGTATGATACGAAATCTATCCACCATAATGATTTGTAGTTTATTGACTTTTCCATGGAATATTTTTTCATGAAGCGATATTTTGGTCAACTTTGATCATCAATAACACAAATTATTCTTCATCCGAATATGCAACTCATATATATTTTTGGAATCAGAAAAAAAAGTTCTATCGACAGGTCGGAAAATATATAGGGTGTTCCATTGAAAAAATCAAAGTTGATGTTCTTTCTGGAAAAACGGATGACCCTGTATATGAAACAACTTCACTAAATAAAAGTTTGGGTCATTTCAAACAACTTTTTCATTTAACATTTTTTCACATCTCCGAAAACAAAAGAGTTAAAGGGGGGTTCCATTTTAAGAGGCGCACCCTGTACGTCTATCCAAAGGAAATCCATTGGATAGCTTTGTGTTATTAGGGTATGCGAAAACCTAAAACCCGCCCCCTTTTTTGCAGGCCTCTCGGCGGCGACGGGCATCGGCGTGGACGACCTGCGCCGTTTGTGCATCCTGCGGCTGAGCTTCGTCAAGGGCTGGGGGCCCGATTACCCGCGCCAGTCGATCAAGGAGACGCCATGCTGGATCGAGGTACACCTACACAGGGCGCTGCAGCTGCTCGACGAGGTGCTGCACACGATGCCGATCGACGGGCCGAGAGGCATCGAGTGAGGCGGAACGAGTGAGTTGGGCATGCTTCCGAGAATTGACGCGAAATTGTGATTTTTTTTTTCAACAGCCGGAACTACTAAACGATAGGGAAGGTCATGAATGACACTATTTATTGAAGGGTATACTTTTCTTCTTTGTACAAGGTTTGGCAAACAGTGCTACGGTCTCCACAGGTCTGTTGAGGAAAGGAAGTATACAAGACTCTAAATTTTACGAAATATTCTCAAACCTCATTGTCAGATTGATCCAATGAACTCAATGTAAACACCTGGAAGGTACCCTCTGTGAACGACGAGGTGCTGCAAACGATGCCGATCGACGGGCCGAGAGGCATCGAGTGAGGCGGAACGAGCGAAATTGTGATTTTTTTTCAACAGCCGGAACTACTAACGATAGGGAAGGTCATGAATGACACTATTTATTGAAGGGTATTCTTTTTTTTTTCATTATTCCAAATTTTTTGGGATTTTCTCTCCTCGTTTATATAAAATTAAAATATGAATATTATTCCAATATACGTGTAGTAAGGACAAATCAGATGATTTGCCCCAAAATGTTACTGCGTTTAAAGAATTTGCCTACCAGAGAGCCTAAAAGAAAAATTCACCAGCTTGTCAGTGACAATTTTTTTTAGGCTCTCTGGTAGGAATAGTTATTTGTTTAACTAGGCAGCAAAGTAGTAAATTTACTGCCGAGGCTGAATTCATAGCCGAGCTTAGCGAGGCTAGGAATCCAGCTAAGGCAGTCAATCTAATTTGCTGACGAGTTGAACATATAATTTTTTCTCCAATTGTTCATAATGATATATATCTTTATTTTTCCTGTAGTGTTCAATTAAAATAAAATTTGATAGAAATCGCAGTTGTTGGAATGGTTGGTTGCTATGGAAATGTCCATAATAATTATAGTTTGACAATTCATGAAATTTCTGACAGTTGTGCGAAAAAATATCGGTATATTTAAATTATTATATAATAGACAGTGATAGCGACCTGGAAGTACTCACACCTCCAGAAATAAGGGAGGTGGCAAAAAATAGAGAGTTGAATTTGTTGCCGGAGAAGTCTCGGATGAAATATGAAGGAAATTATAAACGATTTATGGATTATTAATTTTGCTGATACATATCAATCAGCAAAGTACCCAGTTTGCTACCTAGGCAGGAAAAGTAATACTTTGCTGATTGAGATGTGTCAGCAAAATTAATATTTGCTGCCACTCGGAGAAAAAAGTCTTTAAACGCAGTGACATTTTGGGGAAAATCATCTGATTGGTCCTTACTACACGTATATTGAAATAATATTCATATTTTTATTTTATAGAAACGAGGAGAGAAAATCTCAAAAAAATTTGAATAATGAATGTACCACCTCCTCGATTAACCTACAGACAGTAAAATTGTTTTTTTGTACAAGGTTTGGCAAACAGTGCGACGGTCTCCACAGGTCTGTTGGGGAAAGAAATTCGAAGGGAGCATACAAGACTCTAAATTATACGAAATATTCTCAAACCTCATTGTCAGATTGATCCAATGAACTCTGTGAACGACGAGTGAGGCAAAAATATTGTTCAGGCAACCCACAGTGTTAACGGATACCTATCTCTTTCTATCTTATGTTGGCTAATGGGAAGCGCTTGTATTATTTGAAATATTTTCTCGTTTTTTTTTTTTATTTAGGAGTAAACGTGATTAAATATAAATATCTATTTAGGAAAAAGGATAATGTTGCAATCAATTATCATTAAAAAATTATTATAGATTTTTTTATTGACTTAGAAATGAAATTTCATTTTATTCTTACAGGATTAGGAAGTCAAATGAATACAAAATTGAAATTATATATTTTCATTCAGATGTCACAATATATTGTACAGGGTGAGCGAAGCACAACGTCTCAGCATTATCAGAAGAAAAAGAAAAACGATAGGAAAAATTTGAAAAAAGGGTCTTGAATGGTATTGAGTACCTAAGGTCCATTTTGAGCATAATTTCCATAGGTTCCCATTTGTCCATCAGGTCACTGCCTACAAACATTTCCCTATTAGAAATTAAAAAAATAAATTCAATCGATAATCAGTGACACCTTGAATCAGAGCTGAGACATGTGTTTAGCTCATCCTGTAAACTACTTTTACAGTACTTTTACATACATAAAATCTAATAGTTCTTGAATAAAACAAGTTTCGACAGTTTTTGTCGAACTTGGGTCATTTTCCAATGTAACTCCAAATTCGTCATTCTACTATGGTGAAACATCCTACACTTGAAATATTTCAAGAACTATATTTTCCAAAAATCTGAACAATATTCACTTACCCATGGAATGACAATTTCCTTTTGTCTTGCTCGATCTTGCATCCAAAGGCGACACAATAAATCACCATTGTTTATCAATATGAAATCACAAACCTTCTCAACAATCAGTTCACACCAACAAATTCAGTCCTTTTGATGAAACAAAACAGGCCAGATGAAGATATATTTCACATAACCAAAAACAATGAGCTTATGTCTTCTCTTTCTTGCCTGTTCAGATGAGAGAAAAAAATCTAAAGTACTCCAATTACTAGATAAAAGAAAACGTAAACACCAATCCACCATTAAACAACACGAGTAGGAAAGAGACAGGTTACCGTAAAACAAGCTATCTTTGTTGCAGCTGCCCCTGACACACTTTGTGCTATTCGAGAGGACGGCCGTCTTCCTTCCAGGTGCTTATATTGAGTTCATTGGATTGATCATAGTGAATCACGTGATACGCATCCGCAGTCGTTCGCAGAAAAACTTCCCGAGAGGAAATCAGTACACCAGTGGTCACAGTGACCCAGAGTAACACTTCCAAACCAAACGCAGCCTCCACAATTTTATTGCAAAAAATGATCATCAAAAAGCACAAAGATTTAGACTCTTCCAAATACGACTGGTAGTAGTAGGTCTATGATGTTTCTGGACCACTTTGGCCTTACCCCCTCTATTGTACTTGTGACGCTTCCACACGTTATTGCGTTCCTTCGTACTCTCGTTTTCATGAGCGGGTTTTTTCTACACTTTCAAAATGGCGTCAGCATGAGGAAATGTTGAAAACAGTATGAGTAAGTCATGTATGCCACACATGCACAAGCATTTTCAGAGGCGTCTCAAAATATGTGGAGTTGGATTTCACTTGTCTCTCTATTCAAAATACAGTACTGCCGGGGAATGCTGAATTCAGAAATATTCTGCAAATCCTTTATCCAGTTAGTCCCTCTTTTGTTCAGAGTATCGGTGATCTCGTCATCCCATCCTATTTAACTTCGCCATATATTCTGTAATAGTTTTTTCCCAGTGATCATGAAGTTGGCTAAAAATCCCAGAGGATCGAAAACTGGCATGATAACTTTCAAGATCTGCCTTTTCGTAGGTCGTCTCACATTTTCTAATAAAGATTTATCAATTTTATGAAATTTCGTTTTGAAGCCAAACATATCTTTTTCTGGATTCCACCAAACTCCTAATATTCTCTCTGTTGATGTGTCCGTGTTGTTTTCCAGAGATTTCTGACTGTCAGCTACTAAAATTGGATCTAAATTTCGAATCACATCTTGTTGCAGTTGCATATTGTGAATCCTCCCTGTCTATGAATATTTAATGCGTCATTGACCAATGTTTTTGCCTCTTCTTCACAATCAGCGTTTCCAAGATAGTCGTCCATATAATGATGTTCAGTTATTGCTCTGACTGCTTCTGGATAACGATCATTGAAGTCTCTTGCATTTTTATTTTTAGCTTCCTGTGCTAAACATGGTCCACTGGTCGAACCAAAGAAAACTACATTGATTTCATAGAAATCAGGTGGTTCTCGTCTCTTCATTCCTCTAAACAATATGCGTTGGGCTGCGCGTCTATGTTCACATTCACTTGTAGAAACATCTCTTTAATGTCCGCAGTGAATGCTATTCTCTGAACTCTAAAATGCAATAATATGGTGTATAGTGAGTTATATAAGTCTGGACCAGACAAAAGACAATCATTTAGGCTTACACCATTAGACTTTGCTGCGGCATCGAAAACAATACGAAGTTTATTTGGCTTATTTGGGTTGATTACGCCAAAATGAGGCAAGTACCACAACCTTTGTCTACCTTCTCCCACTTCTTCCTTGCTCAGCTTAGTGATGTAACCTTTCTGTTCCATATCTAATATTTTCTCACATTACACTTTCCCATATGCTTCGTTTTTGTCCATTTTCTTCTCAGTACACAACAGTCGCTTGTATGCGTTCTGCTTACTCTCTGGAAGAGCAGAGTCTTCATTTTTCCACGATAATCCTGTATCAAACTTGTTACCTATTCTCCTCATAGTTGAATCAAGAATTTGTTGTGCACGAGTGTCTTCTTTCGACATAACCCCTTTGGTATTATCGAAAGTCTCCATTTTCCACTGTTCTTTGACAAGTTCGTGGAGAATGTCTAAGTCGTCTTTAACTTTTGAATTGATGAGACAAACAATTTGAGTCGATGAAGCCTGACCATCAGTGCCATAATTGCCGTGTAGTACCCATCCAAGGAGAGTCTTGCTAATTGCTGGACCATTCCATGGACCGTCAATTATTTGTCGGCTTACACGTACTTTGAGGAAGATACTAGTAACTTTTCTTGTTGCCACCGATACAAGGTGATCGTGCTTTTGGAGTCTTTAATTAAAATTCGGATGGGATCTTCAAATTCAATATTAATATATAATTGGTTATGTGCAGTGTGCAAAATGTTGGTACCAACTCAAAAAAATTCAGCTAGTCACTAATTCTTTTGGCGATTTATAAAATTCTGTAAATATGTTTGAAGTTGCAAGATACTTCTGAATTTATTATGGTTTTTCCAATAATTCCAGTGGCGTCCTAGAGGCAGCTAGACTGATAATAATATAATTAAGAGAACAAACTCAAAGTCTCGCTCCAAGTAAATTATAATCAAATCATATATGCTACATGTTTCGACTCCTAGGAGTCATCATCAGGCTAAAATACAACACTTATAAATGAAAGAAGTTCCATCACTATTGGAAAATGGGTGACATACCTTGCTAGGTAGGAGGAGAAAAGAAACTATAAAATTGACAACATAGTTCATAAGGGTTTTAAGCCCAAAATAATTTTAAGAAACATTTTTGAATTTTGGTTTTTTGAACCCCCAAATAAACATTTTTCCTAAGATGCTTCTTTTTGGATCAAATAAACATAGTGTACAGCAAATGGCGCGGTTATGAAGTGAACAAACCGACAGACTACTTGATTTGAAAGATAAAAATGGTAGATAAAAATTATTATTCGACAAACAAGTGACAAATGTCATCTATCAAAAACACAAAACATTGAAGTTTGATAGATGACATTTGTCACTTGTTTGTCGAATAATAATTTTTATCTACCATTTTTATCTTTCAAATCAAGTAGTCTGTCGGTTTGTTCACTTCATAACCGCGCCATTTGCTGTACACTATGTTTATTTGATCCAAAAAGAAGCATCTTGGGAAAAATGTTTATTTGGGGGTTCAAAAAACCAAAATTCAAAAATGTTTCTTGAAATTATTTTGGGCTTAAAACCCTTATGAACTATGTTGTCAATTTTATAGTTTCTTTTCTCCTCCTACCTAGCAAGGTATGTCACCCATTTTCCAATAGTGATGGAACTTCTTTCATTTATAAGTGTTGTATTTTAGCCTGATGATGACTCCTAGGAGTCGAAACATGTAACATATAAGATTTGATTATAATTTACTTGGAGCGAGACTTTGAGTTTGTTCTCTTAATTATCTCATCACCTCCAATTTGAGCATGGACTACTACCAGAGATGATAATAATATGAAAAAATATCTCACACCACTGTTTATTCCTAGATTGAGCTACACAAAATTCAATAACTTTCATGTCTTTAATTTCTCTCGTAAGTTGCTGTTTGCAAAGATAATAGGTAAGTTGAATATATCTTGATTCTAGAACTTTTATTTTTGTTATATTTGTAAAGATGATATTTCTAAAAAAAAACGGGTATTTTTATACATCTCTTCGTCATCTTCTTTCAACGTGAAAGAAACCTTACTGGAAGTGAAAAATGTGGAAGATCGTAACACCTTTGCCGGACGCTGTATATCACGATTCGAATTTTTTTAGGCTAGGCTAGTAACTTGTACAATTTCAATGAAACCTGCTACAATGGAAATTCAGGTAAACTCAAGTTGAAAATATAATGAATATTGATTTTTATACTTGAATAATACTACGGTGCTATATTTTCAAAAATATGTATAAATTGATAATGTTAGACAGGTATCTGAGTATAATGTTTCCGCCATTTCGTATTTAGTATAGAGATATATTATAATATAGATTTTAAGTACGTATCAGGTAGAACTCGATTATTTATTTTGTGCTTCAATACAATCTGAGCAATGTAGATTGACAGAAATCAAAAAAGTGTACATTTTTATGGTGTAGTACTCTTCTCAGTTTGCTCATCAAATATCACTTTATATGGGAAGACACTTTCGGAATTGTTCTGGAATTCGCGCCTGTCAGAAAATTCTATACACTCTTGCAACATGAGCTGCCATATCCACACTATTTCCGCCTCAATTCTCCGATGAACGTGAAATATTGAAGGCGGTCAAACGCCCTCAACCCGCTATCATTGCACACTAAACCGGCACATGGCAGTTGCAGTGGGCTCTGGCAAGCTCAACCCCCCCCCCCCGCTTTTTTCTTCACCAAACTTATCGCACTTCCTGGAAATCCAGAAATTGTTCAAGTACAATGAGAAATTCATCTACATTGCTCTAATATCGGGACCCACGGTAATTAGTTTCGGAATTCGGTCCCATTTGGTATTTTTGTATATGTATGCTGCTTCGATTAGTCACTGAAACTGTCAATTTGACATAACGTTAGTAAGTAAGTGAACAGAACGTATATATCAGCAACAAGCAGAAGATGTAAATGGAAGAGTACAAAAACGAAAATTATTATAATTGCAGAATATATGTCGTAGAATTTTCGTTTCTATTCTCTCTATATTGAGTATATTATAATATAAGTACTAGATGGTTCAATGTATATTGATAATACTTCTTGCACTAGACATTTATCTATACTTCATGAAAATGTTTATTATGACTACACATGATCTTATTCAATCAGTAAGTTTTTATATACTGTCGATCGATCCACAGTCAGAGTACAGAGATTTATAAGTTAGTTTATTGACGATGACCACATATATACCGACGAATTACATAGTACAATACAACTATTTGTCTCGAAGAAGCTACCAATGACTGTAAAAGCACGACTGATACGCCCGTAGAAACGTTCCTGTACGCTCCTGAGAATATTCATAATTGATAAATTAGCACTCTCATCCCAGAGTCGACCCCCTATCTCACCCATGCTGAATATACCAGCTCGTAAACGTCACTAAACACTTTCCTGACGTTTCAGTGACGTTCTTTCACGTCTCCATCTTTGATAACTTAATTACACTTATTCATCTATTCACCTATTATTGTTTTTCCAATAGTTCAGTGAAAACTAATTTT